CTTAATTTTAATACAAGAAACAAATCTTAAAGACAAATCGACCAGAGATTTCCTAGCACAACAATGGGGCTATGACTTATACTGGTCTGAAAGAACAGCTATTTTAGCAGGGAGAAAAAATATTAAACTAAAAAATAATAGAGTGTTCTGATAGAAGGTAATGAAAGGATCATTCTTTGTGAAATCAGCAGTATCAATAAAGTCTTTCATTAATTCTTTGAGTTGGTATTTTGATTTATCATTGTATAGAGGTGCTTAGCTTATGCGATTAATTTCTAGATTAAGATTTGTATTAAAGTTACCTGCTATCATATATAAAGCATTATCATTTGCTATTAGAGCCTAATTGTTGAAAAATTAACATCTTTGTTCCTGACTTGGAGGTGCATAAATGTTTGTAGCTATAAATTGTTGTTGTTTAAAAGAGAAGCTAACTGTGATCACTTGATCATTGTGAGTAATCTTTTTGTCGTTAAATTTTATATTTGGTTTGCTAGCTAAAGTGGCAGCCTTGGCTGACCAAACTGAGTTATATCCCTATTGTTGAGAGAGAAATTTTTTTGTTGCTAAGTTGTTTAGATTTGTTTCTTGAAGTAGTATTAGATCTAGTTTGTAAGATTTTAATAGTGTTAAAGTTTTTTGAACCTTAACAATATTGTTAAGACCTTTGATATTTAGTATGGCAATTTTAATCATATGGAAAGATTAAGATATTAATAAAGCTATTAGCTATATATATAGTGGGTATTGCTATTAATCTTGTGATTGAGAAGCATCTTTTGAAGTGGCTTCAGTTTCTGCTATTTGGATTCCATTGTTTAAAGCTTGAAGCTTTCTTTTATTTCCTTTTTTCTTTTTTGTTGATGCAGATGCAGTTTCTGCCTTCTCAGTATTAGGTATATTTTCTTCAAGTTCAGAGGTTGTAACTATATTTGAAGAATCTGTTTGCATTTTTATTTCTTTATCTGAGCTAGGTTCTGGCTGAATCTCAGCGTGAGTGTAGTTTTTTTCTTTTTGTAATTTTAGTTCTTTGTAGTATGCACGTAAAGCAATTGCA